GTGTAGAGGGAGTAGAGCAGTGGCGAGAGGACACATCCCTGAGGTGCTCCTGTGTTGATGCTACTTGTGCAGTTGATAAAAGGACAGGTAATGTTTGTCACGCTGTTGCACACACAGCACCCTTATTTGTTTCAGTTCGTCAGTTGTTATAGACTATAGCAGGGGTGGGCCACTCCAGGCCTCGAGTGCCGGTGTCCTGCAGGTTTCAGATATCACCCTGGGTCAACACACCTGAATCAAATGATTAGTTCATTACCAGGCCGCCGGAGAACTTCAAGGCATGTTGGGGAGGTCATTTAGCCATTTAAATCAGCTGTGATGGATCAAGAACACATCTAAAACCTGCAGGACACCGGCACTTGAGGCCTGGAGTTGCCCACCCCTGGACTATAGTGTGCGCTGTACACCCCACTTACTGGTTTTTGTTGCAGTCTGCGCCTCCCAGTTAATTTGCCTGCTTCTCCTCAAGCTCCACACCGCCCAGCCTGCAGAAAATGCACATGCTCTTTGCAACCTCATTCCCAGCTCATAACCAGCATTAACCAATGCTCAAGGGCAAGCATTGGTTAATGGTAGTCATGTGACTGATGCAAGCCAGATCCTTTTATTTAGCAAAATTGAGATTAATGGTCACATTTTATTGCACATTGAGGTTTATTGCTCTGAAACGCAGCAAAAGAGCATTTCTGTGTTACTGATGGCTTCCATTACAATAAGTGGCCTGTGTTACTTTTGTGAGGTTTTTTAGGTTTTTAGGTTAAGTAATGGCCCTTGAGTACTCAGCCCTCAGTAAACAGAGTAAATGACAGACAATAAACCAGGAAACAATACACAACATAAGATGTACTGGCTGGTTTATCAAAACATTTCTTATAACTTTAAAATGAAATCAGCTAATTGTTTTCTATTGTTTTTCTGATGGAACAACATGGTTACGCAGTCTAATGCAGGAGACTAACATCACTTAGCTAGGGCACAAACCCACAGATTACCTGAATCAACTCTCTTATTTCGTCACATTAAACGCCTTATAAACAAGAATTACACTCCAAACATGTTACTTTAACTAAGTATCAGCTTTACATAAACGTATGTAGTGCTCGTATAGCCTACTGCTCTCACCTGAAACACAGCACAACAGCATTACTTTTGTAAGGGATTCTTTTCCCAGTCACCCGTTTGTCTGAGCCGCCACCTACTAGTAAAACTAAATATCGCCATAACATCACATCAGGTGGGAGCAGATGAGCTTTTCGCTCTGTGACCGCGGTAAAGTGAGCCGTCATTTGTGAGCCGCGGTCAAGCCAGCCGCCTCTTATCCGCCGCATAAATTTCCTTGCGCTTTTACACCAGTCTTTACGGTAGCGCCTTTTCGCTTTATATCCCGATTGA